GAAAAACAAAAAATATCGTGTATCCACAAACACTCCAATAAATAAATAGAATTGAAACGACACTTTGAAATGTTTTCCCGATGAAAATGAATAATAATAATAAGTTTCAATAAAAATAATAAAATGTAAATTGAATTTTATCATAACGAGTTTGCTTGAATTTCCTTTCTTCTGAGATCGCAGCAATGTGCGACGGGTAAGGTAGTAAATAAATAAAATTGTCATTGGCATGTGTTATAGAAACTTTCTATAATTTTATTTACTGTATTATAAAATGAAGAAATAGTTAATTTTAATGGTAGAAATGCATTTCACAAACTATAGTAACAACAAATACAACCTTAATGAAGTGTGATCTCACTCGAGATTTTACACGGGACCATCTTCTATTTCTTCATTCCGGATGTTTTATTGCTAAAATTTAATAGCATTAATGTCCCTCATAGACAATGAACACTACACTAACACTAAATTTAGTTTCTTTATGTTCAATTCATTCTGAAATATTAGGCTAACTAGATGACAAATACATGTCTACGCACAGATATTCACTTAATTGTTTGCCATATTTTTTGGTGTAGACCAGTGTTCCGCAACAGGTGTACCGCAACACACCAGTGTGCCGTCACAAGATGAAAGGTGTGACTTGAACTTTTACATATTCTATTAATTTCAAGTTTTATTTATATATTTTTATCGCAATTGTTGTGTTTCGTATGCTTGTATTTCATTCACTGATGAAATAAAATGATGTTAAAGCAATAAACACATATGTCGTCCCAGTACTTACTTATTCTTTTGGAGTTATACATTGGACTCACACAGATCTTGAGCAGCTCCAAATGAAAACAACAACAACACTTACTAAGCATAAACAACATCATTCTAAATCTGCCACAGAAAGATTAACCCTTCCACGTAAAGAAGGCGGACGTGGCCTGATTGACATAGTTAACCTTCACTACAAACAAATACAGTCACTGCGAGAGTTTTTCTACAAGAAACAAGAAACATCACAGTTACATAAAGCAGTAACTCTAGCAGACTCAAATAACACACCATTAAACTTACACTCACAACATACAGACATGACACAACATATAAAAAGCATAGACAACATTAAGCAATCATGGGCTCAAAAGGCTCTCCATGGCAGGCATCCTTACGACCTGGCCCAGGATTTTGTTGACAAAACTGCGTCAAACAGCTGGTTAGATCGGGGATGCCTCTTTGGGGAGACGGAAGGATTCATGATTGCCATACAGGATCAGGTCATAAATACTAAAAACTACAGAAAACACATACTCAAAGATACAACACTCACAAATGACACATGCAGAAAATGTCACATCATGCCAGAAACTATACAACACATCACTTCTGGTTGCAAGCTCTTGGCACAGACAGATTACTTACATAGACACAATCAAGTAGCAAATATAATACACCAAGAGCTTGCAAAGAAACACAAATTGGTAGACATCCACGAACCATACTACAAGTATATTCCACAGACAGTATTGGAAAACAACACGCACAAAATGTACTACGACAGAGCCATAATCACAGATAAAACAATTTACCACAACAGACCAGACATCACACTCATTGACAAACACAATAAAATCACATACATTATAGACATATCCGTTCCAAACACTCACAACGTACAAAACACATGAAGTGAAAAAATCAGCAAGTACACGGAACTTGCACAGGAAATAAGGCATCTGTGGAGGATGGATGGATAGGGGTGCTTATTGAACTTGTCGTTCTCTCCTCTACAGGTATCATACCACAAACGCTACACAAAAGCCTGGGAACATTAAAATTGAATAGAAACACATACATCACACTACAGAAGGCCTCTATATTGAATACATGTCATATTGTTAGGAAATTCCTGAATACAGACACACAATGACACGCTTATTTAATTTTTGTCTTTTTTTTGAAGTTACTATGCCTTGACTCTGGTCTGGCATAGTACACAGCCATCGGTGTCCACCTAGTGTAACTCACAAAACTCAACATAATTGAGTTTTGTGGTTTATGGCATTACGAAATTCTATTAATAGTATCATATCATACGTTATTGAGAGGAATAACATTTTGGTGTGCCGTGTTGAGTCATGTCTAGTCATAGGTGTGCCGCGAGTAGAAAAAGGTTGCGGAACACTGGTGTAGACAATCTCAAAATCTGAAGATTTGCGAAAATTTACCATATTTCAATACTTCATTTTGTTATGCATACAAAACATTTCTAAAAGTAAGAAGCAAATTTCAACTTAAGTTTATATGTATAAATTATACTGTTTCAAATTTTCTCATTTTGTAGTTTGAGTACTTCTGCTTTTTAGTGCACGATAAATTAGAGAAAAACAATGAGTTTTTATTTCAGACTCATTGGTCAGGTCCACAATGGATGCGGCCACATGTTGAGATAGGTCGCCCGACATACAGGCGGACCTAAGATTTACGAAACCCTAGGCAAAAATTACTTTGAGGCCAATTGCAACGATGAGAGTACAAAATACCAGATTTATTTATTTTTCTAATACTATGAAATACTGCAATTAGATAAACAGAGATTACAACAAATTAATAATCACTGCAATTTCTAATTTTATCTAGTTTAAGTAGCAGTTGATTACAAATAAATAGTAGAGAGGTTGTGACCGAATTTTTCATAGTTAAAACGTGAACGTCAAGCGTCGCCATGTTGTAATTTTACAAGTTTGAAAATGTCGTTAGGAACGTCAAACGTGACGAGTAGAAGTTGGACTAAAACGTCTGCTTTTTCTCTGTTTTGGGTTAAATTTACGACGTATGTTATTAAAATAATGATTGTTTAAGCATTTATAAATAACATTGCAAAGAAACAGACTATTTTAATGCAGAAATGTTTTAATTATTAAATACTTTTGCAAGTAATGTAAAGTGCGTATACAATTTTTATATATTTCCCTCAAGAAAATGATGGCGTGAAAACAGGCAAAACGCATTGCAAATTTTTTACTGTTAAATCGTACGATAGAAGACACGACGCTAATTAAAGTCAAAAATAATTATAAAATATCTTTTTAATATTTTAAAATAATCTATTTTGTTAATTTCGTTCGTTGGTGATCTTAAATGTTTCTGCCATTTCTCGACAATATCTTATGAATCAGTGCGCTTCGTCAACGTTGGCGCAACGTGTTTTACTTGGAGTTCAAATGTCAAACGTGTTTTTCCGCTTGCCATACAAGTTTAAAGTTAATGAAAGTTTTATTATATTAGAGAGGCTGCAACCTCTCTAATATAATGAAATGAGCAAAACAATTTTACAACGAATTGTGAAGTTCAATAGGTGTAAAAATCTTTCGTTACAGAACTACTCTCCTGGCTTTCACAGGGCTAAATTACTTTACAAATAACATAAATCTCTAGTACAGTGAGCCTAATTCATTAATAATATATTTTCTCAATGGACAAGATGGAAAGTGAAAAATCTCTTGTGTTATTTTGTTAATTTTTCTAAAAGACTAAATAATTTCTACAAAATTTTTAAAACAATTAATTTTAATGCAGTTTTCAAATATGTTGCTTATATATGAAATCACAAAATATGGATATGTAATTTATAAAAAATAAGATTTTCGTATTATTTTTTCGGTCGTTATATATCACAAAAGGAAAGTAGTGACGATCGGTCAAAAATGACTCCACAAGATTTTTACATTTTTAAATTTAGAATTCCTTCAAACCTAAAAAAAATATCTTGAGTTTTATCTGTATGTATAGGTCTAAATGTTAGTGTGTGGGAGGCACGATTTTGTTCACGCTGTTTACAAGTTAATAACTCCTGTTCTTTTGTCGAAAATTTCGGAAATTTTGCAGGAAAGATTGATTATTAGGGAAATTAAGGCCATGGAATT